GATGTTCCTGATTCTAAAAGTAGTGGCAATGTCCCAAAAAACTCTAGGCCGTCTCCAGTAGTCATAAGTAATGTGGTTGACTATAAAAAATAGAGTCAACATTAAAAAATAAGGACATTAATTATAAGGTTAAAATGATGAACAACAATCAATTTAAGCTTATTGTAAATTCCGAAATGGACTACAGGAATCTTACCAGAGCCATGAATGGATCTGGACTAGAATGGCATACCTATGAAAACAAGCAGGCCAGACCAATAAAAGTCATGGTAAGAGGTCTTCACCCCAGTTGTAAACCGGAAGATATAAAGGAAGACCTAAGCTCTAGGGGTTACAAGATCTTAGATGTAATCAATAAAATTAAAAAAATGAAAGAAAATGGGAAAAACATTATGGTACCTCTACCGCTGTTTATGTTAACATTCTCAAATGAAGAAGAAATGAAAAAAATTTATGAAATCGATTACATAAACAGGATGAAAGTTAGGATAAAGGCATTTCGAAAGGATAGGACCATTCCGCAGTATAAAAGGTGTCAAAGGTTAACATCAGATTGCAGTAAGCCAAAGAGTACTGCAGCAAAGTGTTCCAATTGTTTGGAGGCCCACTCAGTAAACTATAGGGGATGCCTTGTAGCTAAGGAACTGCAAAAACATAGAAATTTGAACAGCAACAACAACCTGAAGAATTCTGAACGGGCACCGAGGAAATTCACCTCGAGAATAGTTTCAAAAGATGTAACATATAGGGACGTTCTCCAAACGAAAACTGATGACGGTGGCACGAGCAATAAAACAAGGACCAGTGACGTGAATGTTTTGTATAAAATGCAAAATATGATGCAGAACATGCTAGATATGATGGACAAAATCTCTCAGAGATTGAGTATTTTAGAGAGCGAAGGGAAAAAATCGAATACCAAAAAACCTGGTAAATGATGGCACGAGGTAATTTTAAAACATTGCAACATGGAATTGCAATGGTATTGCAAATAAAAAGGACATGCTTGAAGTTTTTCTGCATACACAGAATATAGACGTGTGCCTCGTAACTGAAACACATATGACCTTAAGAAGCAGGATTCGGTTTCCAGGTTATAGAGTTTACAACTTGAACCATCCTGGAAATATAGCGAAGGGCGGAACGGCGATAATAATAAAAGAAAACGTGGTGCATTGCGATCTGCACCAGATGCAAACCGAGGGAATGCAAATGACAGCGGTTCAGATCACTTCGACTAATCAGAAATTTAGAGTGGCTGCATTATATTGTCACCCTAGATTTAAAATTACGGCAGAAATGTTTCAATGCGTTCTGACAGACCTGGGCGATAGATTTATCTGGGGGGGTGACTTTAACGCCAAGCACACTGATTGGGGTTCAAGGCATACTTCAACTAGAGGAAGAGAACTTAGTACAGCAATTGGCTCCACGGGGTGCCTTTTTCATTCTACTGCGAAGCCAACGTATTGGCCAACCGATGTCAATAAATGTCCAGATTTAATAGATTTCTTCATAACGAAACGGATTGCGAAAAATTTCATCGAGGTACATGATAACTACGATCTTGACTCCGATCATTCGGTGGTTATTCTTGTACTTAAGGAAAATATAGTTATGAAAAGAGCGAAACCTGCGCTGACAAATGGAACTACAGATTGGTCAAGATTTCGCTTAGAAATTCAACGTCAAATAGATCTAAGGAAAAAAATAAGAACGACCCAGCACATAGATGAGGAGGCCGAAAACCTTACTAAAATTATTCAAAATGCGACTTGTAGTAGTTCCTAAATTAACGTTATTAGGAGGGGGGCATTAACTATCCCCCACATATACTAGCAAAAGTAAAACGAAGCAGGCCGACGAGAAAGAGGTGGCAGCAAACGCGTGATCCTGCTGATAAAACCAGATATAATCATGAATCGCAGCAACTAAGACGCTGTATTAGAAAATACAAAGAGGATTCGGTTGCTGATTATGTTCAAAATTTGACGGCGTGTGAGAAAACCAATTACTCACCGTGGAGGGCAACAAAGAAAATGAAGCAACCTATCAAACATCTCGCTCCTATTAAAAACAAAGATGGAACGTGGGCAAAAACTGACAAGGACAAGGCAAATGGGTTTGCGGATCATTTGGCTGATATATTCTGCCGCATGATAGCCGGAGCGTGTATGAAAATGAGGAATCTGCTTTTGCTGGGGATAGCGTGACTATTCCAATTGTCAAGGAAAGAGAGGTCATAGAAAAAATCAGGACTCTTAAACCCTAAAAGGCCCCAGGATTTGACCTAATAACGGCCGATATTTTGAAAGAATTACCCAAAAGGGGTATAACGATGCTTACGCGCCTAATAGATGCGTGTATAAAGTTCAATTACGTGCCTGAAGTTTGGAAAGTTGCAGAGATAATCATGCTGCACAAATCTGGCAAACCTATAAACAAGGCGACTTCTTATAGACCAATCTCATTGTTGCCTATGATTTCAAAACTGCTAGAGAAACTTTTATTGAGAAGACTCCAGCCTATAATTGAAAGTAAAAGGTTAATCCCGAACAGTGTTCCCACTTGGTAAAAACAAAATGTATCCAATTTCGAGGAAAAAATGTATCCAAAATGTATCCAACCTCATAAAGCAGAATTTTTATACCAAGCCGTCCTATTGTTGGTTTTTTTATTTATAGTAAATTCTTTAAGAAATCACATACAACTTCTATTATATTTTAAATGTGTTAAAAGTTAAGGTCAGAAAAAACATATGCATATATGTATGTTGTTGAACTATGTATGTGCTAAAGACAATTCACCATTAAAACGGAAAAATTTTAAAAAATATGTACAGCCAATGCATTTTCTATTACAACTAGCTTACTCCAAAATATTTCTGGTATGTTCTTGTCTAAATGTTCTAGATTTGAATACAGGAAGAGGCAGCACTCATTTAATAAAGTTTCTTACTTTCTTCTAGTAAACTCGGAAATCTGCTTAGAAATGCCAGCAAATAACACTTTTGAAAGATAAAGCAATTACGCGTTTTAATTTTAGCAGCATTTTACATTTGTTTTCACAACAGTTTTGTAACATTTATTTAGTGTTTAGAGAATAAATGTATCCATATTTCAGCAAAATTTTGAAATGTAGCCAATTTCGGCATTTTAGCAGATTTGAGTATCTTTGTATCCAACTTAAATTTAAAGCAAAAAATGTATCCAAATGGATACAATTGTATCCAAGTGGGAACGCTGATCCCGAATCATCAATTTGGTTTTCGCGGCAACCACTCAACCATAGATCAGATTCATAGAATAACTGACCTAATAGAAAATTCACTGGAAGAAAAAACAATATGTTCTATCATATTTTTGGACGTAGCCCAGGCCTTCGATAAGGTTTGACATTGTGGATTAATAAAAAAACTTAGGCGATTACTATTAAAGCAGTATGTTGACCTGCTCGAATCTTACCTGACTAATAGGGTATTTCGAGTTAAACAGGAAGAGGAGTACTCTTCACTTAGGGATATCAGGTCGGGGGTACCACAGGGGAGAATATTGGGCCCGATACTATACTTGCTATACACGTGTGGTATTCCTGAATCGGAAGGAGTGACAACAGCTACATTTGCTAGCGATACAGCAGTTATCGCAATAGGACGAAATGAAAATGAATCTACACAAAAATTGCAAAGGGCCAGTGATGAGATCTCAAAATGGACTAGAAAGTGGAATATAGAACTTAATGGGGTGAAATCAGTACACGTAAATTTCACTAATAGGAAAATTGACAATTCATTTTCGGTTAAAATAAATGGCGTCTTGATTCCGTCCGCAAACACAGCGAAGTATTTGGGAATGACGTTGGACGCGAAGCTCAGATGGAAGGAGCACATAAAGAAAAAGAGATCTCAACTAGAGGAGGAATACAGAAAGTTCGAATGGCTTTTGGGAAGGCGTTCCAAAATGACAATATACAACAAAGTTTTGATATATAATCATTATTTAAGCTTGCCTGGGCTTACGGTATTCAGTTATGGGGCTGCGCTGCGCAGACTCATATCCAATCTATACAAAGATTTCAAAATAGGGCATTACGGGACATTGTAAACGCCCCTTACTATGTCCGTAATGCCGATATACACAGGGATCTCACGATCCTAAATGTCACAGACGAAATTAAAAAGCAAGCATCCAATCATAAAATGCGTTTATCCAATCATGTCAATATCGAGGCGGCTCGATTGGTTGACAATCAAAACTTTGTTAGGAGACTTAAACGTACGAGACCTCTCGAGTTTTTTTTATCTGGAACAATGAGTACTTAGTACGCTATTGTGCCAGATCAAAAGCTTGTAAATAATCAAAAAGGTTAGAGCAAAATTAATGGTTAATCGTTTTCGACTAGTTTTATAGTTTATTTTGAGGAGGGTGTTTTTTAGTGGATTAAAGTTCCACACTACTGCTTTTCATCTGGCAGTGTCTTTCGAGATTTTTCACCCTTCCTCTCGTGCTCCGGCGGATTCGCCGCGGAGTTGCTGGGGATGAACAGGAGCCGATATCAAATATTATTTTGTTTTTTACAAACCAAAAGTGCTTTTGAAAATATAAAAAGAGGTGTTTTTGTTAAGTAAAAAATTTCAGAAAATCTTAAAATAGGGCTATTTCGGAGCTTAAAAGTTTCAATGTCAGATTTTTTCCTACTGACTCTAGAGCCAAAACCCTATCTAATGACTTTTGTCACAAGATGGATACTTGTCGGAATACTCTTATTTTTCTTCAAATAAAATGTATGCACACGTATGTATTAGCTACAGAAATAGTAACAAATATTTTTTAATAAATAATATTTTTATAAAAATATTGTAAAACTTGAAAAAAAAATGTGTAATTGATAATCAATGTTAAACTATTAATAATGTAATATATTGTTGAACTAAAAATTTTGGTATGCAACAAATTCTGTTAAAAATGCTATTTGGTATGCAATAAATTTACTTAAAAGTGCTATTTATATAATATTACCCTTGGTATTAATGGTAAAACATCTCTCAAAGTTGTTCTGTAAAAATGAGTTTTTTGTGTGGGGTCCTTCATGTTGATTACATCCAAAAACTGCAGGGCATGAACAGCGGAATCACTGAAAATTCAAATAAATAATTTATAATTGATTGTGTTATATAATTCATACTTAAAATATTTTATTAGTTGCAATAATTGAGCGGTTGGACGTTGTGTTGGGTTTTTACTTATTAAACGTGTTGTTGCTTCTTGAAGTGGTATTGGAATTTTAGTTGAAATATTATAGACCGCTGTGTCCAACTAGAAAGATTATATTTAAAAAACATTTTAATAAAAGCTAAATGACCTTACTCACCATTTCTAATTGCTTTAGATAATTTGAAGTAGAGTTATTTGCTTGTATTAAAGATCTACCATTATTAAAAATTGCGCAAATTACCATACCTAATGAATACATATCTGATAAAATGCTTACTGTTGAATGAAGTTGAATTTCAGGCGCTACGTATTAATAAAAGGGAAGTAATACTTATAAAATACTGTTTCCAAATTAAAATTAGCGATATTGCGATAAAATTTGCTATATTTTAACAATTTATTGTTAAAATATTGATTTAATTACAATTTATTAAAATTTCTTAAAAATTGTTAATATTTATTAGCTAGAATGCGGTAAAAGAAAGCCTTCAGATAAAAAAGAATTTCTGAGTTTTATATGAAAAAAAACTTTCAATTTTAAAGAAATTTTGATTATTATTTTGTAACTCAAGGAATGTATGGAAGATACCAGAACATCCAAATTAAACTCCCGCGCCCTTTTCAAATAATTCCCAAACTCTTATACTGTCTAAATCAAATGCTTTATTAATCATTTACTCCTTTATTAACCTGCTTCTGCCTATTTACAAGACTTCTATTTAAAATAGAAAGCTGAAATTTTTTATAAAGTTTAAGTTCCATTTAGTGTATTATATACATATATATAGTTATTTATATAATATTATATATAGTTATTTTAATGATGCAGCTATGGCGTGTAACCTGTTATGGTAACATTCACAATTAAGTAAATGCACCATTTTTTCTGTACCCTTACACAAGGAAATATTTTCGGAACGTTTGGAAAAAGTTTAAGCTTTAACAGATGGAAATTTTGTAACCTTCATATAACTTGTCGATAACCAAATTATTTATTTAGAAACCAGAATACAACTTTATCCCAATGTCAATATTAATAGTAACCAAAAGACAATTAATTCATAACTCGGTTATAACTAATTCATAACTCGGCTGTAACTCAGTTTAGTAACTTTTAAAACTAGTTTTTTAACCTTCATAGAACTTGCCTATAGCTCTATTGTAACACACCAGAAACTTATACTATCCTTATTGTAACCTACATGGCAACTTTATACTAGTGCTGTCGTTTTATTATTTCGTGTTGCTGTGAAGAGGATGTAGAAATTACAGCAGACTCGATTGCACTGCAGTAAATTTTTTTGTAATATATGGATCCGTCAAAAAGACATTGTTTAAATATATGACAATTATTTAGTATAACAACAAAGGATCAATATAAAATTATAATTTATCTAAAAAATTATTATATTCATTGACAATTATTATAAAAATATGGTAATATTTAAATATTACTTGATCTGTTGATCTTTCCAATGTCGAAAAGTTATATTATGAGATCAAAAACTAAAAATCCCAAATAACAATTTCCAAGAGTAATACCCTAAAAAATTGACCAAAAATCTCATAAAACTCTCATACCAAACTCGGATACTCTCATAATTTTCTTTTCTTTTTTTTTGTTTTTATGCAACTCTCGTAAGGTTATTATAAGAACACTTAGTACTTGTAGTGTGAAAAATCCTGCTACTCTCATAGCAGAACTACTTTCAGCAAGCCATAAAAAATTTTAGTTCTCATAAAGTATTTTTTATAATATATCAACTCTTATAGAATTTTGTTCTTACAAGAATTCCTTTATAAGTCTAGTTGTTAGGCACAGCCATTTAAGTATTGTCATTTTTCCTTATTTAAATTTTTACCCTAATGAGACTGAGAATTGCTTTTTGGAAAGAAGTTCGAGAAATATTTATTATTATATTAAAATGAATGTATGTATAAATTTTGCTTAATTCTTAAATTATAAAATTTATGTAAAAAAAAGAAATTAGATATTATACGGTAAAAAAATATGTATAAAAATTTTTAGTTGACGTTGCTTTTTTTCGAAGTATAATATCTTTTATCAATAAAACTTTCATGCGAGCATGGGAAAAAATTTATTTTAATTTCCCATATTTATAATTTTATAATATTAATTTTTTGAATACAAATATTTATTGATTACATATCATATACGTAAACACATGTACATATATTTTGTTTCCTTTTTGTTAAAAAAATAATTATTAAAAGCGGAATAAATATATTTTTTATAAAGTTCGAAGTAAAATCGTGTTATGACCCAGTTTTGTTGATGTTTGAGGGACGATCTGGCAGAGCACGTCATCCGGTTGGGGCATCGGCCACCAGCTACTCCAATGTGCATCTGGCTGTGTCCCGGAGCTTCAGCGTGGGGTGGGTTGAATGCTGTGCCAGGTCGTTCCCCAAACATCAACAACACTGGTTCATAACAGAAAATGGCGCGCAACGAGGGGCCTCCGAGACTAAGGCTTCCAACAGCACCGCGAGGACTCAGGGGAGCATCCAAAAATTTTTTTTTTTGTCCCGCGATTGCGTATTATTTTTTTTACTTGAACGGCTTGTCTTGTATTCTTTTTGAAATTCGATTTCTTTTGTCCATTTATTTGTAGCTGGAATTACTGTTGCAGATCTGGCTATATGCTGTTCTGGCAGGCCGCGCAAATAACATGAACATCCTGTGTGAACATTTGTTTTTAGGTTTCTTTTTGTAGGGTCGATTCGGATATTCCTATTTTGATTACTAGGAATTACTGTTGAAAATTAGCTATATGCAGATTTTACAGACCAGGATCGTGATAGATTTATTTGAGCTAGAACTGAAGTTTTCTACAAATATTTTCGAATTGGATAGTGTACTTCGATACTCGTTCTGGAGTATGTGTCTGCTTTAGCTGGAATTACTATTGCAGATCTGGCTAAATGCTGTTCTGACAGACAGCGGGCCGATACGTATTTCCAGTTCGTATCGCGAATGCAATTTGGTTGTGAACCTTTGTGAACTCAATTTAGTGGAATGCTGTCAGGTATTGTGTGTCTCTGCACAGTACCCATATTGGGAATGTAAATATCAAACAATTTTATCTTTTTTTTTACTTTTTTTTTTTATATTATCTTGATTATATCTTTTTCTGGCAATCTTTCCTTTTTATTGTCAGATTATTTTTTTTATTTTGTTCTTTATATTATCTCGATTACATCTTTTTCTGACAATCTTTCCTTTGTATTGTCAGATTAAAATTTCATTTTGTTACCTTGCGCGTGTACACTCTATTGCTGTATACGTCTACTTATCTTTATCTTTATTTACTTAGTTTGATTTGTACTTCGTACAACCGATACTTGGTGTTGCCAGGTATAATTCTTTTTGTCAACTGCTTTTGAAGTTGAAATTATTTGTGAAGCAAGCTGTATAATTTTTTTTTTTGTATTGTTATTGAATTTTTTTTTTAAAAGTGAATACAAATCTGGTATTGCTTCATATATATTATTGCCTTATTATTATTAAATATTATTAATTGTATTATTATTATTTTAATTTCCTGGGTTTTTATCCAGGATTATTGAATTTATCTAGTTTTAATTTAAATATTTTAGTATTTGTTGGAAATTTTGAATTATAAATTTATTTTTTTTTGGTTCCGAATTTGGAACCTAAATATATAATTTTTGTTTCAGGTATAATTATACGACTTGTAATACTTTCCCATATTTCCTTTTGTTATAGTGTCTTAGTAAATTAGACTTAAAATTTAAGGCTTAGTTTTTGAGCTCAGCTTTGCGACCCAAAGTATAATACGTATTCTTTATTTTATTTTTATTTAGTGGGTTTTTCTTTTTTCTAAGCGTTCATTAGTGTAGTAATTCCGCCTCGCCACAGTGGTGATAATATGCCAACTTATGCTGGCATATTATCACCATATGCTGGCATATTAGTTGAACTCGGGTGCCCTGAAAATCTCGTGCAGCCACGTGTACCATCGTAACTGTTTGCTCACGTGGATCAAGCGTAACTCTACGTGTCCGCAATGTAGGGCAGTGTGTAAGAATAAGGATTGTCCGGCTCTAGCCGTGGGGGCTAATACCCGTTCGCGTGCCCAATATCGAGCGAATGCTTCGTCGGAAAATTTGGCGAAGGGGACCAGTGCTGCTCCTGTTGATGTGTCTGGTGGGAATCCTAGCGCGAGTCATTCGGAATCTGTACCTGAAACGAGTGCGGACGCTGGCCCGTTGGGTGGCGCTCTTGCTGTAGATGACGATAATCGAATTAGGAACCTTGTATCTGCTGTTGTAACGGCACGTCAGGCTACGTTGACCGAAAATTTGGAAGGCCTGGAGGCGCGTATTTCGCAAATTATCCAACATAATTTGGCGTCCCAGTTACGCGACAACATCGCTCGGCTTTGTGATTTAGAAACTTCGAGTCGGGAGGTGCCAGTGCCACAAATTAATCACACAAACACAAGTTTTTCACGTTTTGGCGACTTTCGGCTTAGTGATAGTACTTTATCTACAGGTAGTAGTAAAATTTCAGGACGTATTTCCGGGTGGGATATTAAATTTGAGGGAACTTACAGTAGAAAATTTTATTTACCGTGTTCAAAGCCAAGGTGCGTCCGAATCTTTTGATGATTATCGCGATGCAGTTCTTAAGATCTCTGAGAACTTGCAAGACCCTTTGCCGGAATCTGAGCTGGTTGAGATATTGCGCCGCGGTCTTAGGCCCCGTGTTCGTCAACAATTTTTATACGTACCCATCCATACCTTAGCCCAACTTCATTCGTCTTGTCTGAAGGGGGAAAAACTTTTGAAGGAGATTGCTGGCTCTAGTTCTATAGCGTTAAGCCATTCGAGGCCCCAACCCAATCATAGTGGGAGACATATTAGCGAGGTTGAGGGGAGCGACATTGGCGGTGACGTCTCGATACAGGTCTTGCAGCCTACGGTTGAGGCTTTGAGGGACTCTGGGCCCAAATTAATATGTTGGAACTGTCGAATGGAGGGGCATAGTTATCACGATTGTTTGGCTGATAGGAAGGTATTTTGTTACGGATGCGGTCTTCCTAACGTGTGTAAACCAAATTGTCCGAAGTGTAGGCCGGGAAATTTGGGAGCTCCCGAGGAGACAAAATAATACCCTCGGCCGAATTAAAACCACCAATTCCAGTTCCCGATCTTCCGTCTTTGATTTTACCAAGTATTTCTTGTAAACCTATTTTAAAACCGATTATTCCGTTTTTAAACGAAGAAAGATTGAAATCGTATGAAGGGCTTGTTCCCAT